TCCTTTAGTAGTTTTTCCTTAAATTGGGCTCACCGGCCAATCTAATTATCACAGGTGTCCGAGATTGTTTTCAGTGATCAAAAGAGCCCTGACACACAATGCCATCCATGAGTTAAACTGAAAAACAAAATATTTAATCTTTGTGACACTTAAATAGAATTTGCATAATAATTTGGAACGCGGTGTATAACAAACATTATTCGCATTGACAATCATGGTATTGTACAGTGATCTGTAGATATTGTAACTATTTGTAGTAGTTCCCTGAGACCAGAAGGTTACTTCAAGGGTTTCTCCAGTTTAACCTACTACCTATTGTGCGGTGCAGAACCAAATCAATGATTTTCTACCGGCTGTCTATTGACGAGCAACGGCTGTCTATTGCAAAACCAGATGTAAAGCCTCATCTCTGCTTCTCGTCCGTCACTCGGTCTGGTTAGCATCCTCGGCTTTGCTATAGCTTCGTAATGTTATAGCACACAGTATGGGGAAATTTAACTTGCATAAGCATTTTTTGGAGTGTTCAAAAGCCTTTGCAAGTGTAAGCATTCTTTCAGTTTATGGTGATTCTTACTTCATCTCAAGCTGTGTTCACTCCGATTTTGATCCCCCTTTATTTGCTTTTATTCTAACACCTCCTCCCTTCCTTCCCAGCATTTTCTTAAAATATTACACATATATGAAAAGTGCACTTTTTTTAACTGGTATGTTAACCTTAGCATGCATTTGATAAATTGGCGCCATGCTGACCTAATGAGCCACTCAGCCCACAGCATAAAGTTGGCAAAGTGTACCTGTCCTCTATACACAGTGGAGGCAGCCATTTGTGCACTGAACCAACGTTTTACAGTGTCACGTTTTGCAGGTTAATGTGGAATAGGTGCTGACATATTTCTTGAACAATGCCATTTTGTTATTGACATCATCAGGGGCCAGCTGCCCCTTCCTGGTTCAGGCAGCCTGGCCTCTGATGACATGCCGCCGGGTCCACTATAGGATATGAAGAGTGGAGGAGACATCATTCTCACCTAGATGAGATGGTGGTCAGGGTGAATTAGAAAATGAAAAAATAAAAGATAAACAATAAAATATATATTTTTTATGTATTACATTGTGGGGTTGGTTAGGTGTGCAATGATGCCTAGCGCATCTAAAGTGTGGTGGTCTCTTTTTGGGTATATATAAAGCTATCAATACTCTTGGACTCTATTTCCAATGCCAAGAAAAGTCTACAAAAATATTTACTTTTTTTGGCTAGATTTGAGAAACTGGACCTCCGCTGGCACTCTGACGATGAAAGAGTGGATCGATGAACTCATTTGCAGTACCTGCAAAAATTGATAGCCCAACTACATGACTGATTTGACCAAGGTATATAGCCACGTGCAGTACCTGGGCTGATATCTTGGACTCAACCCAACTTTCTTAGGCTCATCCCAGCTCAACTCAATCCAACTAAAGATTTAATATTGCAAAATTGGACAATATCCAATATGTTCCAGTGTGTCAACTCTCCTCACCTGTGCACCCAACTGTTCCCCACCACCCCCATCATGCCAAATATCTACTCCCTTAATACCAACTTTAATATGTCTGTAGGTGGGACCATCCAACGTGGACATGCCATTCCTGGGTACCACTTACAGGCTTCCTGCCCTAACTTCATGTTGGTGAGTTCCCGCTCCCAGAAGGAGCAAACAGGGTACATTTACCAGCACATGTATTTTACCATGCCTGACACATCACCGTGTGTTTCCCAGCAGAATCAGGTTCCAGTTTCTAGAATAGGCCATTTGTAATGAGAAGAGGGGAGTCCAATGCATTTTCATAGCTTTACTTGTACAACTTCAAGGCAGGACAATCCCAATATATTCAACTCATAACATTATGCTATTGGTCATCTGCACTTTCCCAGGTTGGGCCATCTATGTCCTGTTTTCCCAACTCCAACCTGTCCAGGGCCTCTCTAGATATTCCCCAGTTGGGGAATACCAATCACTGGAAACATTACATATTTGCAGAACAGGCCCACCAAATCCAATTTGGTGGGGGAGGGCAGCTCTGGAGTCCTTCTCCTGCTCTGTTGACTTCCTTCCAGAGCTCCTCCCGCTCTCTCACATAACCCACTATATCTATGGGTAGGGTGCCACCTGGTGTCCAAATGGAATCTGTGCCAACACCCCCTTACACATCTTTGCCGTCTACTTGTTGGGGTACTCAACATGGATTGAATGATGACATCTTACTCACACATATATACAATTTAAGGAAGATAGACATATCTGATTCAATTTTTTTAATTATAATATGCAACTACGCAGACATACTACTCATTGAACTGCTTTGATTTGTATCTCTTCCCCCTGACTCTTGTTCCCTCATCTACTCTGTAATGAAAAAGTAGCTAAAGTTTTTTACTTCAATAAAGTTTTATTCTTGAAAAAAGACAGAAATTGAGAAGGAAATTCAAAATGTTATGGATGATACCAAAATTGGGGTTGAGGGGAAATGTCTGAATGAAGATTTCTGTTCTGATGACAACTGTCTAAGAGGCGATGTCTTACATTTTGGAAAAGTTTTCTCTTCAGAATGTGTCTCTTGGACTTTAAAATGTTAAAATGCTAAAGCCCAACTTCAGGCACAGCCCTTTGATAGAATAGATAAAACTTGATTTTTTTTTTAACCTCTTGCCGTACAATCTTTTATTTATATATATATATATATATATATATATATATATATATATATATATATATATATATAGTAGGTTCAAGTGGTTATACCGGGGCTGTAGCAGAAGCTGTCAGCTATATCCCTGGTATTAAATCTTTTCAAATGGCATTTTTCGCTTTCTTATAAAAGCGATCCGAGTGGCTGATTAGCCGCTGAATTGCTGTTAGTCCTCATGCACATTGGATGTTTTTACAGCTGCTGTTTTTGGGTTTTGGCATATTTTTTTCTACAGCCAATAAACTTCCCATCATGTTATCCTATTTTATCCTAGAAACCCCAGACTGAGTGGGTTTCTAGAGATTGTTTAGCTGTAAAAACGCTCTAACGCTGGTAAACATGGCAAACCAGCATTTTTGGGTGTTTTTTTTTTTTTTTTTGCACCACATTTTTTTTTTGTTTGTGTAAAAACAATAAAAAAAAGTAAATGTGGCTAAACGCTAATATAAAAATTTTAAAAAAATGTGGATAAACGTGCATTTTTAATGTGACTTTATACAACTAATGCTACTGGAATTTTTAAAATACCCAGTGGGCATGAGGACTTAGAAGCAGCAGAAGAGGTTGTCCCCCCACCCCCCCCTTCCACTGCTTTCCGATTTCCCTGGCTTACCCATCTCCCCAGGGAGCCCAGGATCCGATCCAGTGATTGTGCCCATTGCCATAAAGGTGATCTGGGACCAGAGCATCCTTGATCACCTCTATGGTCTAGGATACTGGAAGCGACAAGCATTTTGTCTTAATTAAGGCCATTTTTTTTTTTTAATGGAAAGCATGAGTTTAAGGTTTTTTTTTTTTTTTTTTTTTTTTTTTCTTAAACTCATGTTTTCAAGGGTAGAGGAGAGATCTGGGGACTCCAGACCCCAGATATCTCCATAAAAGGGACTTGTCTTGCTTTATTCAATCACAAGGGATGTTTACATTTCTTGTGACAGCAATAAAAATTATCCGAAAACTTTTTTGGAATAAAATTACAACAGTTTGTGCAGCGCTTTACATATATATATTGTACATTCACATCAGTCCCTAACCCTCAAGGGGCATACAATTTAAGGTCCCTAACTTACATTCATATACTAGGGCCAATGTATACAGGATCCAGTTAAACTACCAGCATGTCTTTGGAATGTGCGAGGAAACCGGAGTACCTGGCGGAAACCAACGCAGGCACAGGGAGAACATGCAAACTCCGGACAGGTGGTCTCGTGGCTGTGATTCGAACCAACGACCCTAGCACTGCCAGGCGGAAGTGCTAACCATTTAGCCACTGTGCTGCCCTAGTTAAAATACAATTTGGTACAAGAGAAAACAGGGCCCTGTTCGTTAGAGCTTACAATCTAGGAGAAAGGGTTGAGTGATACAAAAGGTAATAGCTGTGGGGAGATGTGCTGATGGAGGAAATAAATGGCGGTTTACTAGTTAGAAGCAGGAAAAAGATCATAGCGCCCCTATCTTCTTGTATTAGCATGCAGAGGCAAACACATATGTAAGTCTCTCATGTAAATGGTGTTCACACAACACATATGAGATTGTTGCAAATGTTATAGCGACAGCAATCATTCTAGATCTAGACCTGTAAAAAAAATGTTAAAGCATCACCTGTGGAGATTTTTAGATATCGTCGCTATCCCACAAGTGTGCGCAATTTGTATGACATGTTGTGTGTGTATTTATCGGTGTAACATCAGCTTTATAGTTAACAAAACTGAATTAAATGTTGTGTTTTGTGCATTAAAATTAAAGTGTTTTTGTTCCAAAAAAAAATAAAGACGGAGTTTAAAAACTCTGCTCAAATACTGTGTGACATAAAAAATGGCAGCAAGCACCATTTTATAACCTAGGACCTTTACTTAAAAAAACTGTTTTTTGTTTTTTTTCATTATTGTAAGTTAAGCTTTACAATCACTATATTTATGCAACTTATTTTATAGCTCTGACACTTTTTCCACAGTACCACGCAGAGACCATTAAACCATTGGCATTAGTCCTTAAGAGCCCACAATCCTATCTCTGTACCAGTCACCCACTAGAGTCATCTTGAGAGGAAGCCCGTATGTTGTTGGATTGTGGGAGGAAACACAAGCACACACAGGAAAACCACTCTACACGTTTTACACTCCGCACAATAAATGTCCTTGCCTGGAAGCAAGTCCAGAACTAGAGTATGCAAGACAATAGTGCTGACCATAAAGCTCCATGTGCCTTTAAAGCCAAGTTTTTTTTTAATACAACTAAAAAGATTAATTGTAAAGTAAAAAAATACCATTCTCAATGTTCATTTCTGTAATGTGACGAACAGGGGCGACTGACCATTTGGAAACTCGGGCACTGCCCGAGGGCCCGAGGTCAGTAGGGGGCCCCATGAGATGCCCCAGTACCTTTTTCATAGGCTTTTTAGAGTTTATGCAAGGACACAGGGGCCCCATGATTCCCTATTGCCCGGGGGCCCCATGAGTTGTCAGTCCACCCCTGGTGATGAATCGATCCCCACAATGGGCCCAAAGTGCTATCCTTGGCAATAGGATGCAGAGGTCTCTCTGTAGCAGCCCCTCTAGGTCCTAGCTAGAGCTCTCTAATCAGTGATTTTTTTTTTTTAACGTGGCTATGTAATCTCCACAAATGCTGTCCAAAGCAATACGTTGCAAAGAGATGCTGCGTGAAAGCAGTGGCCTCTCTGTAGAAGTCCAACACATACCTTTGAGTCACATATAGAGCAATCGCAAAACTCACTCTCCCCACTGATTGGAGATTGGGATGAGCTTGAGTTTGGGCTTGGTTTGGTTAGAACCTATGTTCAGCTGAACCTGAAAGGAAGCTATCATTACTGGACCTATCATCTTTGAGCGAGTGATTCCCCAACCCACAGCTACATGTACACAAATGGGCAGGATTGCTCATGACATATTTGACTAAATATAGCCACATGGCCACTTGACCTATAAGCATGTGGCCATATTAGGTCATTGACATTGACCTATAAGAAGCATGTGGCAATATTAGGCCATTGACGTTGACGTATAAGAAGCATGTGGCCATATTAGGTCATTGACGTTGACCTATAAGAAGCATGTGGCCATATTAGGTCATTGACGTTGACCTACAAGTAGCATGTGGCCATATTAGGTCATTGACGTATAAGAAGCATGTGGACGTATTAGGCCATTGACGTTGACCTATAAGAGGCATGTGGCCATATTAGGTCATTGACGTTGACCTATAAGAAGCATGTGGCCGTATTAGGTCATTGACGTTGACCTGTAAGAAGCATGTGGCCGTATTAGGTCATTGACTTGACCTGTAAGAAGCATGTGGCCATATTAGGTCATTGACGTTGACCTGTAAGAAGCATGTGGCCATATTAGGTCATTGACGTTGACCTGTAAGAAGCATGTGGCCATATTAGGTCATTGACGTTGACCTGTAAGAAGCAGGTGGCCATATTAGGTCATTGACGTTGACCTGTATGGCCATATTAGGTCATTGACGTTGACCTATAAGAAGCAGACCATATAAAGAAGCAGGTGGCCATATTAGGCCATTGACGTTGACCTATAAGAAGCATGTGGCCGTATTAGGCCAGTGATGATCACAAGCATCCCTGCTGTGTGTCCATTCAACTAAGGGGATTCCCCCCCTCGCCAGGCACTGGCAGCTTCCTTCTCAGGTTTGGACAAACATAGGTTCTGACCGAACCCAAGCTCATCTCAATTTCCAATCAGCAGTGACTGTGCTCTAGCTGCGACTCATCAAGGGGCCATGTTGGACCTCTACAGAGAGGTCACACAAAGAGCATTGTCTCTCTGTAACTTGATGCTGAAGGCAGAGTTTTGGACTCATTGTTGGGATCAAATAGCCACATTACAACAGTAAGAAGGTTAAATGATATCTTTTGGCTGCATATTTAAAATTTTTAGCTGATTTGTTGACAAACTATATTTGGATTTTAAAGATGAAATCTAGGCAGATATAAAAGACACATATTAATGCAGCTCTGCAATTATTTATATGTCATTTTTTAGTGCAGCTCTGTAATCATTAATATGTCTTTTTTTTTTTTTTTTTTTTTTTTAATGCAAACAGTAAAACTACCTGCATTTGACCGGCTATTGGTCGCTTCCAGTTTCTACGCAGTAAAGCTGGAGAGTGGGACGAAAAAAGCATCACAAGGAGCCCAACAATTCATGTGCTGACACGAAGCATGCTGGTAGGAGGAGAGAGCAGAGTGACAGGCGGATGAGTTAATCACTGTACTGCTTCTCCCTTTATTGTTCAGTCACAGGTTGGGGGTGAGTCCGGGATGGCCTGGGCTCAGAGGAAGTGGATTGAATGATGCTGGCCATCAGACTGAGGACATTTAGCATTTTGAAATGACAGCAGGATAAATCTCTGGACTGAAGCTGAATAGTGCCGTAAAAACTGGTTTTGTTATTTTACCTTTTTAATAGGTCATACATTTTTATCTCGTTATTTTTGGCTAAAGTTTTGCTTTTTTAAAAGAAGCCTCTCCTGCAAGAAACCCAGCTGCTGTCATTTTTTTACTTTTCCTTTGAAAATGTCATTTCGGAGGCTTCAGAGAAAGGTCGGCAATGGTAACCATTAAAAATTCTTTCATGACAAGCTTCCTTTCAATTAAGTTATACCTCCATTTCTTCCAATGAAGTAGAAACTAATAGCAATCCCTATACCCAGCATCCTCACATCCTGTGTTTCTAAGGTAAACCTGCACACAGTTAAAAGTATAACTAAAGGAAAAACTTTTTTTCAGTTTTGGATAAAGTGGAGATGGATTAGAACCCGTCAGGCCTTTATTGCCATTTGTGCCCCCATTAGGGAGATTCACCCTATTAGTCATGGTGACTCTTCTTATCAAAAGTGAAAGAAAATCCCACATTTTGAATTGTTACCAGAACAGGAATAAAGCGGAATTCTGCCAATGGTGACACTAGCACTGTTGATAACCAGGGGTTCTCTCGCTTTTGAAGGATTTCTTCACTCTTCCAAAGTTGCATCCAAGTCATCAAAGTCACACCCATCCAAAGTCACATCAAAGTCTATTTATTTATTTTATTTATTTCAGGTACTTATATAGCACTGTCAATTCCAATTAACCTACCAGCATGTCTTTGGAGTGTGGGAGGAAACCGGAGTACCCGGAGGAAACCCACGCAGGCACAAGGAGAACCTGCAAACTCCAGACAGGTGGAGCCGTGGCTGGGATTTGAACCAGCAACCCTAGTACTGCCAGGCAGAAGTGCTAACCATTTAGCCACTGTGCCATCAATGCTTTCCTATTGGCAACGTCCCGTTCCCCCCCCCCCAAACACGTACTCAAAAACGCTTGTTCAAAAACGCATCAATCACAACACCCAGAGGTTTTAACCAGGCCTAAGTGCTCGTTTAGGTCTAGGGGACAAGAAAAGCAGGTTTACTTACCTGATCCCCTCAGCAGATGGTGCTCCCCTATGCTGCAGCAGTGGACTGTTCCTTGGTGTCCTCACATCCAGTGCAGGGCTATTTATCCTGTATCAGTCTTGATTGTGTCAGAGGGGTTCTGACTAGAGATGAGCGAATTATTAAAAAATTCGATTCGGCTGATTCGCCGAATTTGCGGGAGAAATTCGATGCGAATTTATTCGCTGCGAATTTAACTTATTAAAAGGGTTCTAGGCTTCAGAGAGCCTTTATATTAGTGCAGAACACTGTACCTTTAATTTAAATGCCCTTGGAGTCTGCTGGGGAAGAGAAATAATACTGTCAGTCAGTATGACATGCAGATGAGTGCCGTCGATCTTAGAATCACCGCACACTTCACTCATTTGGGCAGTCACGGGGCACGACAAAGAAGAAGAATGAAAAGTAGAAGAAGAAGAATGAAAAGTAGAAGAAGAAGAATGAAAAGTAGAAGAAGAAGAATGAAAAGAAGAAGAAGAAGAAAAGAATGAAAAGAAGAATGAAAAGAAGAAGAAGAATGAAAAGAAGAAGAAGAATGAAAAGAAGAAGAAAAGAATGAAAAGAAAAAGAAGAAAGAAGAATGAAAAGAAGAATGAAAAGAAGAAGAAAAGAAGAAGAAGAAGAATGAAAAGAATGAAAAGAAGAATGAAAAGAAGAAGAAGAAGAATGAAAAGAATGAAAAGAAGAATGAAAAGAAGAAGAAGAATGAAAAAGAAGAAGAATGAAAAGAAGAAGAAGAATGAAAAGAAGAAGAATGAAAAGAAGAATGAAAAGAAGAAGAAGAATGAAAAGAAGAAGAATTCCAGTACAGCAAAAAGTGTATCTGCAGAGAGCTCCGCTATTTCTGACAGTTCTCTGACAGTTCCTTCACATTTACAGCGGTTGAAACATTGTATCTATTTATTTCCGAATAAAAACATCTGTATCCTAAATGGAAACAAATAGATACAATGTTTCAACCGCTGTAAATGAACTGTCAGAAATAGCGGAGCTCTCTGCAGTGACACTTTTTGCCGGCTGATTGGGGAAAATTCGATTCGTGCATCCGAAGTTTGCTAAAATTCGGATTCGGTGTGAATCGAATTTTTCCTAATATTCGAAACGAATTCCACTTCGCCAAGTTCGATTCGCTCATCTCTAGTTCTGACCACCAGAGCATAGGGGAGCAGAGGCTGTGGGGACCGGTCCTACAGGTTGGAAGAAGCCTGTGGATCAGGTATGCAAAAATACTTTTCATGGTCCCCTTGACCAGAAGGAGCATATAATCTTTGTAGCATCTTTGGGAAGCCCCAATGCAAAAAAAGGATGTTTTACTTTACCCAGAGTTCAGCTTTAAACAATTCTACCAAATAGGTGTCTCTTAGATTGTAAGCACTAGTGAGCAGGGCCCTCTGTTTCTTCTTGTATCAAATTGTATTGTAACTGTAAAGTCTACCTTCATTTTCTAAAACTGTTGGCGCTATATAAATCCTGTATAATTATAATAATGATGATGATCAAGAACAAGATAGCATTAGCTTGATGGTCACTAGAAAAAATGCACTTTACATTTGTTGTCATTAGGAATAATCCCCTCTTACTGCGCGTTCACACAAGAACGCAGTGCATAAAATCTGCATTCTATGTGTGTTTTTTGCACCATGTTTAAAATGCACTGCAGTTGCAATCTGCAGCGGATGTCAATGGTAACTTAAAACGAAGTTCCACTCACAGTGTAAAAAAATAACTAAATAAACTGTAGCTGCTGACTTTTTAAAAACAGCCACTTACCTGTCCCACGATCCCGCGTTGCCCCTGCCACAGCCCGTTTCACCGGCCGTACTGTATTCCAGGAGGCCAGCATCTTCAGTGTGGGCACCCTGTTGTGACAGCTTGTGGGTTAACAGCCAGGTGCCCACTGCACATGTGCGAGTAGCGCTGCGCTTCCTGAATGGCTTCGTCATCTTCTGGGACCTGTCACTGTGCCGAACGCAGCGTCAGGCCCCAGACCTTCTCTCCAAACTCATGACCGAAGGACTAGCCAATCTAAAACCGCGATGTCACCTGCGTAACAATGCCATGCCCATCTGCACCCTGCACA